TCTCCACCAATTGCATCATTCTCATAATCACAATAACTTTTCTCCAATTTAGGAACCAACAAGAGCTGCAGTGCATCGTATCTGTTCCGCTCTATTGTTAGCCATCTTACCAAGAAAGGCCAGCGAGTCTCATTAACGGTGTTGTAATGGGCGGTTCTGGAAAAGATGGACAGTAACTGGGTTCGGCGTCCGATCAGCAACTGAGACTGCTTTTTCACCGACTCCATGCCGATAATCACCTTGACTTCCTGTTCTTTTATCAGCGGTTCAGCAGCAACGGATTTCAATAAATTCCAACTACATGTTAAAATTCAGGTAATAGAAGTAGAAAACTCAATAAAAATTGACATTTTACCTGCAGTAGCAACTTTTAAGAGATCTCTATCAGGATGGCGGAAGTGAAGAGATAGGTTGTAATTTTTCAGTACTGTGTTAGAATTTCAGACTGCATTTGCATGGCGACTCTTTGGTTCTTTCCCAATTCGGAATCAGATTATCAATGATTGTGCCAATGTTTATAAGCTTGTAGCCATCAGCAGCTTCAAGTTCAACTCCACGGCAGAGGATGATAAACTGGAGATGAGTAGTGGACAAGGAGCCATGTTCTTGAGTGTGTTATGTATTACCAGAAACCTGATTGAAGAAGAAATTTTGGTTCTGTCATGATAGCCTATAATTTCTTTACCTATGGCCATTCCGTACATGGAATTATATAAAGAAACCTGAAATGGCGTGTATCTTGAATAATAGATAAATAAAGATGCACTGATATGCACGTGATTTGACAGAAAGAGACACCGTGCAATTACCAGGAACACTAAGTAAGTGACTAAAGACTGTAAGCAAAGTTTTGAAATATACGCCTATGTAAGTATTTTAGTGGATATATCGCAGGCATACTACAATTTATATGTTTCACCAATCGTAGTTCTTATAATTTAACTACAATCTAATTAATCCATTCGTCTGGCTGTGCAATACTGTGAAATATTCAATTTGGCATGAATTAATTTAACTACAATCATAATTTACTTTTCCGCTTTATTATTGGTGTGATTGGTTGTGGTTTCAACAATCTTCAGATAGATTATCTTGATTGGTGATGATTAAAGAACCTTATTGATGCCATTTTTATACCAATCTAGGTTGATACATAGTGGAGTTAGAGATTAAGCTATTAAAAATACTTTTAAATTTATATCAGGGTTAAGCCTTGCCTTTCTATGTACAACATTTTTTAACTAGGTCATCTCTGTGGAACCTATGTATCTTGAAATATGATTCATTGACATTCTTCTTTAATATGATATAAGAACATATGATATATATTCGTATCTGATTTATACATGGGACATATTTAATTCAGTTGGTGAGTAATTATTTAGGTTTGAAGTGTTTCTACTTGTCTTGGTCCGGTTTGTAAGTAAGTGTGATTTAGTTATGTTTATGTTTGACCGAATTTATACTTAGTTTTGGAGTAGTTGTCTTGAATTGTTTGGATATGGATCAGGAATCTGAGGATTCTCTGAAGTTTCAGGACCCGCATAATCCCTCTGGATAAGGTCCATTCAGCTGCATCCTATGCTTGAGCAAAATCTGGAGCGTGTTACTTGGGGTTGTATTGTCATTGTACATTCCTTGTCGACACCGAAAATTGTTTACTAACCGAATAATGAATAGCATAAAACAAACGACAGAAATGGCTCTATATACAACGTACAGAGACCCATACAACGTACGTAGAGACCCCAGAAGCTGTGGAGGGTCAAAATTTCTGGTTAATAGTATTTCGTTCATCGGTTGAACACTCAGTTGTGGCAACAAACCACTTCTTTTCCAAATCATTTAGCTTTCCATCTCTGATATGTTCAGAGGCTCTAGAAAAATCAAAGACCAAAAGAGAGCCTTTTTGAAATGCCTACATGTCATTGTGCAGCAAAAGACTAAGTTAGCTTTCTAATTTATCCCTTGAAAGAATATAGGCAAAATCATGTAAACTATTGTGCACTGAGATGTAAATTTCTTATAAAGCCAAAGCCTCCAAATCGTAAGTGTGGAGGTTGTGTAACTCTTGCAGTACTTGTTGAGGAAGACTTTCGCGTATGGAGGTTCAAGAGTAGGGCAGATATGTTGTCGTTAAATTAAAATTTTCATGCTCTGGCCTTTCTATAGCTAAGGATAGTTTTTAATTGATGACATAGCAAGATAATTACTGTGAGCAAAGAAAAGAGAAGTAAAGGTGAACCACAATGCATTGCTGATCTGATCCTTCCATGGGCCTCTAAATTCCGGATTGGATCGGTGCTCCAAGAACCAAACTGAAAATTGTGTAGATAAAGGTGGCACCAGCAGCACCCTATTCCCTTGTGAAGGTCTCATAAACATCCAAGTTGACTCTCAGGCTTGACGGAACTACCAGAGACAACCCTGACTCCGATATTGCTTAGTAAATTCCACGTAATTTGTTCTGTTCTCTATTATGGTCACGTCCCAAACCGCGGCATCAAAGTCTTCCATTCAATTTGGACCAGAAGATCAAGCAATCTTTATCAGAAATAACAAGGTACTGAAAGAAGCAAAACAGGATCTGAATCTATAGGAATCATTTTCCTTTAGTCAAGGTCTAAGATGCCTTTCAGAAGGCTGTTCATTCAAAGTTTTAAGATGCTTAACCATAAAAATGTACACTTGATTTAAAATTTAAAGGGTTTAATTACAACATCGAAATTTAACAGTACCATCAAAAGAAGAATTTTAAATCAAAAGATTAGAATCATTACCTTATGGTAGACACCCATATCAGATCATCATAGCTGTCATTATGCGGCACAAATTCGCATGATAATCAAATGTTTAAGAACTTCGCGAAAAAGATCAATTCAGAAACCAGAAACCTCTTTTCATCTGAACTCTCGGCGGGGGTCAAATTTGACAAACATCTCAAAAAAGGTTGTACTTGGAGCTCAAATTTCATCACTAGGCATTGTCCACCCTTTTTACTTACTAGTGGAGAAATATATATATTGGACAATTTCACAATGTCATTTGATAACACATGTGAGATGTCCAACTATATAATAACATGTGTGGTTTTATATTCATTTTTTTTTTTTATCCATTTATCACAGATTTATGATAATTACCCATTATATTATCAATAACTGTCTCTATAAGAAATGATTTTGAAAATTAATATAAGTGTCTTTGTTTATTAGAAGGGGTAAATGGTGAGATTACCCCATATGTTTTTCTCACATGGATGACCAAGAAATTTTTGAAAAAGATGGGAATTAGGCTCTGGCCCAATGGACGCAGCCAAAAATCTAGTCATAGGACCAAACAGGCCCAAAGGAGGAGGGACCGGGCCCAGGCACGGTCCTAAGCCTGGGCCCAAATGCCTCTGTAAAATATCCAAAACTCTTATTTAATATGAAATTGATAATAAATGTAGAGGTTAAAATAATTTAGAAAAATAAATAAATAAATAAATAAGACAGATCATGGGCCCATAGGATCGGTCTTAGGATCGGTCTGAGCCTTAAGAAATCTTGTGGGTCGAGAACTGGTCCTTCAAAAATGGGCCTGGTCCTCAAGGACGGTCCCAATTTAGGACTAGGCCTTGAGGGCCAGGCTAGGACCCGGGGTCAGGCCTTGCCCTACTTTAGACCTTTGAAATTGCCACACTGACGCGGTTTATACCACTAAACTCCCTCTTCTGTGGATGACGTTTATTAGTTTTATGAAAAGAAATTCAAAATTTCGTCGTGTAATATTAATAAAAATACATTAAAGATATACAATGTATAAATTAATTTTAACCGAAAAAAATGTATAAAATTAGTCCAACATGCTCCCATACGACTCCTAGTCCCAACAAATTGGACCAATTAAGAAGAATAGACTAATATAGTCATGTCCATAGGGATTAAATTTTTTTTTTTTTTTTTCAAAAAAAGAAAAAGTCCAGTCTCAGTAAAAATCCCGCTTCCCAAACGCGGCCTTGAAGTCCTATGAACAGTAACTCAATTGAAGGAATGTAAAATAAGAAGCAATACTCTGGTTTACAGTCGTTGTTGGCCTGGGTTTCAAAGAAAGATCCTGAAAAGTGTAAACAATGGTGACTCAGGTTCATCAACAAAATGGGACTCAGTCAACCAATATGAAGTCTCTGGAGAAGTTTAAGGAAAAGACAGCGGAGGCTAAAGATTGAAGATCTTAAAGAGACACGATACAATGACTAAACAATACAAAACAACCATTAAATATGCATAGCATTACAGGTGTATAATAATTACGCGTGTTAGTAATAATATGTATTAACTCAGTTTCTCGTGAGCTTGGTATTACATGGTTATCAAAATTTTATTTTATTTCATGAATTTAATTACAGAAAAAAAAAAAGTCAATTTGATAACAAAATAGTTTTCGAAATAATATTCAAGTTGAAAACAGTAAAACTTTGTGTGACGTCGTTATATTTATTTGTCATGTATGAAATATTAGTTGAAGTTGATTCCACAAGAAACTATGCGATTATAGGAATCATAAGCAAAATTTAGATAATGTTACAGAATAAATAAATTTCGTGGGTAAATTTATAATCATCTCTCTCTCTCTCTCTATTTGACTTTGGCATTTTTTGTGAGTTTGGGATTTATATGTCAAGTTGTCCTGAGTAACCTTTCTTGCATTTGCTACTCTCCAAAATCCTTGGTTCGTTGTGCTGTCCCTAAAACTCGAGGAGCAAAATGTTAGTTTTCCCTTCCATTCATTACTAACCAAAGACGTACGCACAGCACCAAAAAGCAAAACTTCATAAAACAGGATTAGTACTCGTCATTTGTTAGTTCTCACAAGACTTCTTTAAAACATTGAAAAATATACGAAACTTGTATTATTGTCACAAATATATTGTATGAACAAAGAGGCTTAGATAACACAAAGAATCAAATAAAATAATCATTTTATTTTTTGCCTTAACCACTAATATGATTTTACTTTTAACAGGTATATCTATGTGACAAAGTTTTGTTGAGCGGGTGAATAGAAGACAAAGGTATAGAGACATGAAGCTTCTCTGAAGTATTGTCAGAAGGACTTCCATATTCCCACCTGGAATCCTGTGCTTCATCAAGAACTGAACTTCTTCTTGGAGTACTTTCACTTTGCTTTCCATTATCAAAGAATCTTGCAAGACTAACCGCCATATTCAAGAAACGGTTGTCACTTGAAGTCATATTGCCTTGGTATTTTTCTTGATGATAAGCACGATAGTTATTCCATAACCGGATGATGAATAGTAGAAAACAAATTAGAGAAACGATGCCATAGACAAGGTAGAGACCCCAGAAGCTGTGAAGAGTCAAGTTTTCGGTTTTAATATTACTTTCATTGGCTGAACAGTCGGGTGAGGGAGCAAACCAGTCGTCTTCAATTGGTTTTATCTCCCCGTGCTCTGACAACTCCAGAATGGCTCTAGAAAAATCAAGGGCTATTGGAGACCCTCTTTGAAATGCCTGCATGTCAATTAAATTATAGTGGAAATTTCAGGACCAAATCAACTAGAGAACTTTCAGGGAATTATATAAAGTATTATAAAAGCTGAAATTTTACTCACAAATCCGAAGCCTCCAAATCTGTAGGTTTCTGTGGTTGTGTACCCTTTGCAGTACTTTTTGAAGAAAACTTTCTCGTATGGAACTTCAAGAAATAAGGCAGCTATGTTCTTGCTTTCAAGTTCTTGTACATAATTGGTTTCTATATTGTCAAAGGCGTTAATATTTGTTATGTCAAACACAGTGGTCAGGTAACTCTTTACAAACGAATCGTTAACACAACCAACAGTTAAGTTGTTCCTCTTTAGGAACTCCGTATCTGTAACAGTTGGTTCAAGTCGTTGGACGGTGAGCAGTGAAGACAGACTAGCTGTGTAGCTTGCGGTCAAGATAAACACAACGAACAGCCACAGTATAACCACCACTCGACTCAAGTTGCCATAAATTTTCTCTTCTGCAAAATGCAAACATCTGTTATGAGCCAATGAAATTTTGGTTCAAAGCCATTCTCTTAACTAATTATACTTTAATTTGTTGAAAAACTTCTATGCCATGGATGATGGAATTCAGTCACCCTATTTGTTAGAATGGTGGATAAGATATATATACGTACAGAGAATTCAGTAAGAAGCAAAGCAGGGGAAAATACAGAGTCAAAACAGAATTTCCTTTTTCGCTTAGCATAATATCGTGTTTTATTTCGGGACTGCAGATACTTACTGTGAGCATAGAAGACAGAAGAGAAAGTGAACCAAAGAGTATTGCTAATTTGATTCTTCCAGGGGCCTCTAAAATCCGGATTTGACTGATGCTCCATGATCCAGACTATAAACATGGTGTAGATGAAGGTGGCAATGGTAGCCACCCACATTTCAAAGGTGAAAGGCCTCAAGAACATCCACATTGAATTTTTGGACTTGGCTGGAACTATCATTGACAGCCCTGATTCCGTGTATGGTTGAGTGAATTCCACGTATTGTGTTCTTTCCTCCAGTATGGTCAAGTCGCCAACCGCAGCATCATAAGTCTTCCATACAATTTCGAATACAAGTCAATCAAGCAATCTTAATCAGAAATAAGACAGTTAAGTTTTAAAAAAATAAAATAAATCTATACATCTCATCTTGTATTTAGTAACAATTTCATCTAGATCAAACTCAAAAACCTCTGGCAGAATAAAATTTATTACCTTGCTATAGACACCCATAATCAGTTCATCATAGATGCCGTCATGCGGCACTATTTCGTATGGTAGATCATATTCCAACTTTTCCAGCACCTTAAGGAAGAGATCAATGCAGAAACCAGAATAGTTCATATTTTTATTAGAATTATCAGAGGATTCAACCACAAACTTCTGAAAAAAGGTTTTAACTGGAACTCCGATTCTCATCGGTTTTTCAGGAGTAGGCATTGCCCATCCTTTCGGGACTTGCTTCCTCGACCCAGGCCAAATCACATCATTAGCCAAACCTTCTGTTTGATCACCAACTTCACTATTATTTTTATCACTAACGTTGAGTGTCCTCGAGAATCCATGCGTTGGCAAAAAAAAGTGTAGCTCCTTGTAGCTTCTTCCAACAACATTGACAATCCTAAGTATGTTTGTGTTCAATAGCTCACCTTCTTGGAAATGAATTCTGCCACTTAAACCAGAGAAATTACTAGATAACATATTTCCTACCAACGTATTGGGACTACTACTGTTACTAGTCAATCTGTCTATTTCCTGTGTTATGAGTCTTATGCTATCATACGCTCTTAGTGCAAGAATTCCTGGCTTAAAGAAATCTTCTTCTGGATATTCAGTCATGAAATTTCTCTGGAACTGGGAAGAAAACTCCTGATAAGAACTACCCGTTTCAGAATAGTAATTCTTGATTCCTAGAGTGCCTTCCATAGAGGAGATGGCAGAGGTGTTAAGAGAGTCTAGGTAATTGGCAATAGTATCTGTAACTATCCATACTGAATCTCTCCTTAGAAATCCCATCTTATTAGCTTCTCTAAACAAGTGAATAGTCATAGGTAAGGATGACTGAAGAACGATGAAAACGCGAGATTGTATGTCGTGTACCTTTTCAAGCTCTTCTCGAACAATTTCTTTCGGGTCAGATATGGTAGAAATTGGTGGAAGAACCAAGCGGTGCTCAATCTCAGAACTAATGCTCTGAAGACCCTCAGATAAAAGCGCTAATTTCCCAGAATCACCTCCATATGTATTATCTTCATATATGGCTACAACTTTTCTCCAATTATAGGACTGAGATAGAGCCACAATGCATTTTATTTGTTCAGAATCATTATTAGCCATTCTTATTAAGAAAGGCCATCGAAGAGACATTGAAGATGGTGCTATGGCAGGTGTTGCAAATGAAACAACAGGGACTTGAGCCCGGCTTCCTATATCAGCAACTGCAGCTGCTTCCTCCCATGTCTCCATGCCAACAATCGCTTTTACCTTCTCTTCCTTAATCAGTTCCTCAGCTGCAAAATCAATTATTAATCGTGTAGTTAGTAATTAACATGCTACAAATTTAGTATTATTCTTATCTATTTACTAGAAGTATAGAAGAAGAAAATAACCGGCCGTAGCAGCTTGGAAGGGGTCTCTTCCATGGTCCCGGATGTGAAGGGAGAGCTTGTGGTTTCTTGAATTACTGTTGAAGCTTTGAACTGCAATATTCATCGCTGTTATCTCTTGTTTCCCAATATGGGAATTCTCATCGATAATTGCACCGACGTTTGTAACTCCGGTGTCGCTGTTGGCTGCTTCAACTCCATGGCAGGTCAGGAAGAAACGGAAGTTGAAGAGTACAAGGTAAAATAAACAAAGCTTTGAAACTGTATTAACAGACATACGAGACAATAAAGGTAGTTGATTTTCAAAACTAGAGCCAAAAATCCTGTTCATTTTGTTATGCTCCTCAAACATTTGATGTTTACGAATTACGAGTATATAATTAAGAGTAGACGACTGTTCCCACCCAAGGTTTAGCGAATCACAGTTTCCACCCCTGGTTTTATGAATTTCAATTTCGACCCTTAAATCAACACTGTTAGAAACTTTTAGGTTATAACTTAAATGCAAAAGGAGTTATTCCTAAACTATCCTTGACAAATAAATTAACAAATTACTCAAATTTATTTAATAACATACTCTTCTTCAACTTTTACATCATCCCCATCCTCAGCCACGCAGCCACTGCCACCACCACCTAGCCACTGTCGCCACCCAGCCACTATCACCATCCAGCCAAATCAATAAAATCTTCCAATAAGATAATGACATTTGAACAGTTAAAAAGATCTGAAAATGATTTAGAACCAGTTTATTTTCTTCTTGTATTATTAAATAAAGCATTAAAATGACCAATGGGTTAGGAGTAACATGGAATAAGTGAAGTGAAGAGCTCTCAACTCAATAGATTGGATGCCTTTATGAAGTAATATTCAATCTTAGAACACGACCTGCACTAATATTTATTGCAAACCTTTTTGCTTCAACTAACTAAAAAGAATTTGGCACCAAACAGCCGTGAGCGTTTTTGGTTTTCCTTTATCTTCTTCCTCAAGCTGCTTTTGTTGTTTTGGTTTGGTTTCATTTGAATCCCTTTACCTTTTGGATGTCGCTTTGGGCCATCGAAAGATGAGCAATCTAGAAACGTTAATTCATGCGAGCAATAACGATACAAACACGCAACAGTCAAAGGATAACTAAGAATTTGGATTTGGTGCAGCTCGCGGCCTTTTCTCCATTGATTGCAGTCCCTACTGTTTCTTGTTGATATTTGATTGCTGTTGTGTGTAATTATCTGGTCGGCGGCAACTCCCCATCAGTTCCAACCTTCCCTCAACCAACCCGTCCACCACTTGTTTGACAAAATTCCTCACTCAAAGCCACCACCCGGCCATTTACCCTTTGAAATATTTTCCCTTTGAAATGTAGAGGGTTATTTGAAATTTTCATTCATTTCAGATTTAATACAATTCAAATTACTACTGTATCCTTTGACCGTTAAATGAAACATAAATGGTTAATTTAAGGGTGGCAATCTAGAATTTATAAAACTAGGAGTGGGATATTGTCATTTCGCTAAACCTTGGGTGGGAACAGTTTACTCCATAATTAATTTGAAAACTTGCTGCATGTGGGTCGGTGGCGAGGTAACTTGTAGATAGAGTACTGCAGCAGGATAGGCGAAATTGCTAGGAATGTTGTACGAAATGTCAAATTGACTTGTTCAAACAGAATGATTCAATGTCAAACTTTTGGTTCTTTTTCATTTTTAAAGTGAATCTATCAATTTGTAATCCAGTCTCCTACGAATCCAGGCTTTTACACTAGAAAGAAAAGTCACAAAATAACAAATTAATCGGTTGAATTTTAAGTCCGTATGATCTGACATTTTTCTCACAAAATTATCTCGTAATGCACTGTTTGAAGAATCAAGACACCCACACGGCATCTATTAAACCATGTGATTGATACATTTGATATTCATTCCATGTTTATATCATTGACTTTTTTATCCTAAATTATAGGAGAAGGAGGAAACAAGATCAAACCACAGATTCTAAATATTTGATAATAATGATTGATGGTATTTCCATTTAACATTTCTACTCTTCATCAAACCAAATCTATATTTTAAAGTATTATATAATTTTTATTTTTATTTTTTGAATTAAGATGTAAATTATGTTAAGAACTAAATATCTTATTTAAAGCAAGCAAGAGTTGAGAGAATTTATCTTATTTAATTAAACAAAACAAATTGACCTTTAAATAGCCTAAAAAAGAAACTGAAAATAGAAGAATTTAACCCATGTTTAACAAGTCTTAATTACGTGGTAGCTGGCTAAGGAATAGATCAAATAAACAATCACTTCCTTGAACACTAGGGATTATTAAACAATAACAACTTACCAAGTCAAACTCTAATAACTTGATATCCTCCCTTATACTGAATGCTACTAGCAATCAGTTTACATCTGGTATTTGACACACATCCAACAAATTTTGAAACTTCAAGAATGCATTGAGCTTTATAGCTTTAGTCATCACATCTGCTACTTGCACTTGAGTATTGCAATGAATCATCTTAACAGTCCCATCCTTTGTGAGGTCACGAAGAAAAAGTGAACATTGATGTGTTTGCTTCGTCCATGCATTACTGGATTCTTGGAAAGTTTGATTGTCGAGGTATTATCACAATAAACAATTGTAGACTTACTTTGAATGTGACTAAGCTTCTCCAAAATTCTCCTCAACCACACTGCTTGACAAGCACATGGAGCTACAACAACGAATTCTGTCTCAGTGGTGGGTAAAGTGACTACTAGCTGCTTTGCCTCTGGACTTAATAAGAAAAAAAAAAAAAAAAAAAAAACATGCCTTGAAGTGCTCTAAGTCCCCAGCATAATTAGTATCCTTGTATCCAATTAATTTCTCATTTCCTCCCTTCTTGTAGAAAACTCCAAAATTGGTTGTACTTCTCAAATACCTTAAGACTCTCTCTGCTGCTTACAAATGGATTTCAGAAGGATTTCCCATGTACATGCTGATAAGACTTACCACAAACATCATATCAGGTTGAGTAGTGGTCAAATACATAAGGCTTCCCACAACCTGCTTATAAAAAGTACTATCTACTTTTGCTCCATCTTCATCTTTTGCGAGCTTGAAGCCAGGAACAATAGGATTGTGAACTGAATTGCTTCTGTCCATTCCAAACTCTTCAACACTTTCCAGTGCATATTTCCTTTGACTATTGTAAATGCCATTAGATCTTTGCATTACTTCAACACCAAAGAAATATTTCATCTTTCCAAGATCAGTCATGTCAAACTCAAGCATCATAGATCTTTTAAACTTAGCAAACATAGACTCATCATTGCGAGTGACTATAAGAACATCAACATAAAGACTTACAATGAAAATTTTACCTCTTTCTGCTTTAACGAACGAGGCATGTTCACAATGACACCTTTCGAACCCTTCCTTCACAAAGTAAGACTCTATATGACTATACCAAGCTCGTGGAGGTTGCTTGAGTCCATATAAATCTTTTTTCAGCTTGTACATCTTCTGCTCATTACCTTTTTGTTCATACCCACGAGGCTGCTCAACAAAGACTTCCTCACCATGTAAGAAAGCAAACTTCACGTCTAACTGGTAAATGGTCCATTCTTTTTTAGCTGCAAATGCAATCATCAAACGAATTGTATCTAATCTTGCCACAGGTGCAAACACTTCAGTATAGTCAATACCATGTTGTTGAGCATATCCCTTTGCCACCAGCCGCGCCTTGTATTTATCTACTTCCCTATTCTCGTTGAGTTTTGTTTTATAAACTCATTTTCCCTCCAATTTTCTTTCCTTCAGTAGGTAACTTTATCTATTCTTATGTATCATTTTTTTTATTGCCTGTATTTCCAATTCCATAATTTTTCTCAATTTTGCACTCTTCACGGCATCTTTAAAAGAAATTGGATCTTTAGCTACAAAACATGACTAAATTGGCCACATCTTCTTCTTCAAAGAGACCTTCTCCACTCCCATAATCTCGCATCTAGATTAGTAGTCTTTCGGTTTCTTCCTTCATTTGAGTTGATGAACTCTCTTTAGTTAGATCATTCGAAGAAGAGTTCTCCACGTCTTCCTTTGTATCAATATTGAAATTAGCTTCACTTTCTTCTTCATTGTCAGCAACTTTGGTTGCTTCTTCTTCATTGCTACTCCATTCCAAATCGGCCACAATTTCTTATCTTCTTTAAACACAACATCTCTGCTCACTATGATCTTCTGAGAAGCTAGATCATATAATCTATATGCCTTTGACTCCTCACTAACTCCAAGTAAAACACAACTCAAACTTTTGTCATCTAACTTTGTTCTTTATGGTCAGGTACATGAACATGGGAGACACATCCAAAGACTCGAAAGTAATCAATTGATGGTTTAACTCCACTCCAAGCTTTTTGTGGAGTTTATTTCTTCCTGCATACGTTGGAATTCTATTTAGATCATTTACATTCCAATTGACTGCTTCAGGCCAAAAAGTTCTTGGGATCTTCTTCTCTGAGAGCATGCTATGAACCGCATTCATAATGGCTTTATTCTTTCTTTCCACAACCCCGTTCTACTGTATATGGAGTGTAAGCAGCTTTCAACTGTCTACTTATACCATTTACATGACAAAAGTCAGTGAACTTTTGTGATGTAAATTCACCTCCACGATTAGTATGTAGACCTCTTATGCATGAACCTGTTTATTTCTCGACACAATTCTTATAATTTTTTAAAGCAACAAAAGCTTTTGACTTCTCAACTAAGAAATAAACCCAAGTTTTGCGACTGAAATCGTCAATGAAGCTAATCCAGTACCTTTTCTTGCTGTTTGAGATGGGTCTAATTGATCCACAAATATCAGCATGTACTATTTGAAGGATTTTAGAAGCCCTCCATGTGCTTTTCTTCGAGAATGGATCTCTTTGTTGCTTCCCAACTGAGCAATCTTTACATAGCTTTGAAGGAGCTTTGAGTTGAGGCGGCCCACTCACCATCTTCTTATGCTAAAGAGATTTCAGACCTTTGAAGCTCAAATGTCCATATCTACGGTGCCAAAGTTGAGTTGATTCTTCTGTGGTTGTGTTGAAGTGTTGGGATTCATGCATTTTGGACATGAAAATGGTGTAAAATGGATGAACAAGATGATGGATGCAAGGTAGAAAACAAACATAACATTAATGGTAATTTAAAAAAAAAAAAAAGAATAGTATATTACCTACTCCTTTGCTATTAAATGCTTGATATTGAAACTTGAAGTCTAGATTCTTCAAAAGAGAATGAAGAAACTCAAAATGTAATCCATCCAAGCCAAATATGAGAGAGAACCGAGAGAGTGAGAGAGTGCCTTTTGTTTTCAATTGTTGCAAATTGAATGAAAATGGTATAACACTTGGTTTATATACCATGGGCACAAAGTGTAATTTTAAATTGTTTTGGGAGGTCCTCAAACAATTTTAAAATTAATCTTGAGAAAGAGCATTTAT